AAGAACCTCCCGATCCGAAAATCCTTCAAATGGTTCTGCAGGGTTGCATAGGAACGACCGTGAATCAGGGACCCATGGAAGTCGCTTTGGTTTTCCTGTCGGATTTGCAAGAAGGAAAAATACCCAACAGACTTCAAACGAAACTCAGATTGTGTTTTAAAGATTTTTTGAAAAAATGTTTGGACGCGTTGAGAAAGAATAAAAATTTAATCGGGCCCGATCAGAGAGACTATCAAAAAGAGCTGGAAAGAAATTTTCATAAATTTACGGACAGGCTCCCCCCCTTACTGGGTCGAACGATTTAAAAAAAACCCTTAAATTTTTTTTTTTTTTTTTTTTTTTTTTTATACCAAAAAAAAAAAAAAAAAAAAAGTTAATAAATAAATAAATGACGCAGTTGGTAGTTCCTTTTAAAACTTCAGTATTTTGTATTTTATTAATTATTTTTATCACATTAATAATAATAATAATAATAAATTATTTTTTTAAAATTTAATTAATAGAAATTTATTTATTTATTTATTCATTATAATATAATAAAAAAAAAAAATCAGACTTGATATAATAAAAAATATTATCGACTTAATAATAGTAATAATAATAATAAGATATATATATATATAAATAAAATTATGGAATCGATTTAATATCACAAATAATTATTTTTATTTATATTTTTTTTTTTTTTTTTTTTTTTTTTTTTTACTTTCGTTCGCACGTCCCGAAAAATTTATTTTAAATTAAAAATTTTATACGATTTCGAATTTTTAATAATAATAATAATAATAAAGTGGTTGTTAAGTGGTTATATTTAAAATAAATTTTATTATTATTATTATTAAAAAATGACCGGTTAATATAAATACCGAGGGGGAAGGGGTGGGTGGGGGTGGGGCAGTTTTTTACGTTTTCGAAAACAAATTATTACTATTATTATTATTATTAATTAGTTTTTTTTTAAGGAAAATTTTATGCGTTGTAGTATTTTAGGTGACTAGCAATGGATTATTATTATTATTATTAAACGCGAAATTTTTCTTTTTTTTTTTTATTTAAATTTTTTCATTTTTCGCGTAGCTTCAAAAGGTCAAAACCGAGGAGGTTAAAAGTAAAGTCATAATAATAATAATAATAATAATAATAATAATAATAAAAGCCAACGGCCATAGCGTGCTGGTCACACCGGTTCCCGTACGATCACCGAAGTTAAGCAGCATCGGGCGTGGTGCAAACTTGGATGGGTGACCGTTTGAGAACGCCACGTGCTGTTGGCTTAAAAAGAGCAAAAAAATGAGAACAAGACAAAGTAAGAACCAAAAAACAAATCTTGTTCTACTGTCGACCTGAGGCAGCTCGACGAGAACGTGAATTTCACTGCTTCTGACCCTGGCCACTCCAAAGATGTTAGTCACCGGAGCCCAGTTCAGGAGACAAATCGTTCCCATCGAAAAAGACGGACTCAGGAAGACCTTCAAGAATTGATGTGGTGCTATCTTATAATAAGTGGCACCACCGAAATTCGAGTATTTGTCCCTAAGGAATCGGGTAGAAACCTCGGATAAATACTTAAAAAACTCCGACAAGTAGCCTTGTCGTGTTTAATGGTGGATAATAATAATAATAATAATAATAATAATAATTTTTTTAAAATAGAATTTTCGTCGATTTTTTGCCCATTTTTGTAAAAAAAAAAAAAAAAAAAATTATTAAAATT